TTGTGTTTTATAACAGAGATCATGAGAGGACTGTGTTGTCAGTTTTGAAAGCCAGTGTCTTCCACCTCCCTGGACAGTGCACTCACCACCAGGGTTAGTGCTTTGATCCCCCTGTTGAAGTTGTCTTACTCTGCACCAAAAAATGTGAGCCAGCCAGCCACGGGAGGGTATGGCATGGTGGCCTAGAACTCAGAGATTCTAGGATGGATTCGGGCTCTCAGGGTTATGCCTCAGGAGATTTGATATGAAGACAAGGAAAATGTTAAATGCACTCATCCTCCTTTTTGCTTCTGTAATTTTAAAGAGAAATGGATGCCCATTTTTAGCCAAAGTACTCTGGAATTTGAATGTTTCTGCTCACCGTTTTCTAAGTTTTGGAAATTGGTCAGAGTTCAGACTCACATAAAACATATTTTTACCTGGTTACTTTCCTCTCCAGCATGTACATATTTTTTGTAACTCCTCCAAGGTGTCTATTTCCTTTCTGATACTTCCTGTATAGAGAAGCTGGTTTTGGGTAGATGAATTCATGCTTGGTAATTATGTAACTGTACCTACCTTCTTTGGATCTGTCCCAGAGTAATTTCCCTCAGTTTTGGGGAACTGCTGTCTTGTTCTTGCATACCTAACTGGTTATTCTGCTGTCAGACATGTAGGTATAGCCAGAGCTCCCACATGCTGCAAAACGTTCTGCCTCAGGCAAGCTACTTTGCCCATAGTCACTGTTAGAGGTAAAATAGAATTAGACAAGGTGATATGGGGAAATCTTGATTACTTTTAACTTCCTTATGAAATCAAATGTCTCTGTAACTGCAAGATTTTGAAGCACTCATATTTTGTTCATCTCTTCTTTTGTGAACGTTGCCTGTGACTACTAAGTGAATGTGCAGCAGGGAATTTAGTCCTACTGAACTGAATTAACACCAAGACTTCATTGAAAAATGTTCTGCTGGAAAGTGCAGTAGAACATCTACAGTGGTACTGAACTAATAAATATTGGTTCCTTATGGTGCAGTCTGTGGGAACTGTGGGCTCCTGCAAGGTTTCTATAAAGCAAAAGAGATGCCTGTTTGTTCAACAATGCTCAGTTGTTGTATGACCTCTCCTCATAAGGGTTGAAAGAGATGAAAAACAAGCTGAGTTTTATGAAGATATTAAAGAAACAATTTTGTAACTTTTTAAACACTTTTTAGGAAAAAATATCCCTTTTACTTGTTCTAACACTATGATACTGTTTGAAGTGCGATTATATATAGTGAATATACCTGCCATCTGTTTGTACTCTGGTACAACTGCTTCATATTAACCTTATATTTAGTCACATTAATTATAAAGGTGACATAGGTTATTAGTAGGATTATCCGCTTAGGTTGACTGTGGAGTTTTGCTTAAATGCTGAATATATAATATTGCCCTAAATTCTTTGACATTTACGGCAAATTATGTCTCAAATTTAGTCAAGAAAATTTCTGCCCTCGTTTGAAAGGCAGCTTTATAATACTAACATTTGTCCTTTGTAATGGATAGATCTGGCATTCATACTGACACTGACATTTTTGTAAAAGCATACCATTATCCATACAACAAACAGTTCTGACATAATGATTGATAGATAATTACCTCCCCCTTCACCTGGACCCTACTTTGTTCCAGTAAAACAATAAAATAAAATAATAATAATAAAAAAAACCAAACAACCCACAACCAAGAAATACTTTAATCAAATTATGTATGTTGTGTTTCTGGTCTATAGTATATTTCAAATAATCCAGTATGTTCATTCTATCTGCAGAAAATAATTTTATGAAATATTTTGCCTTTTGATCCTAAAACTGTAAATCTAGACCTGACATTAAGGTGGGCACTTATTATTCATCTGTTTTCCCCTTGTCACTAATTTTCACAAACTTCAGGTTGCTGGAATCTGCCAAAGAATGCTCTACTTTATTTTATTTTTTTTCTTGATATCATTAGGTGGATTTTTCCGCTGGAAATCTCTTCCAAAGTCCTCTCATCTTAAGGGGAAAAGGCAGTTCCCAAATACTTCATATCACAGGGAAAATGAGAACTTAATACCTACCTGTGTCTTCCTCCTCAGACATCCTGTGTTAGCTCAGATCATAGCATCAGACAGAACCTTTTGTTTTGTCTTTTTATCTGCGTGTGTGTGTGCCTTGAAATGGAACAGCTGCTTTACACTTTCCATCCTCTTTTATGTTCTGAGATATCAAGAGAGATAAGTACAATATATGATGGCTTGAGTTAACAAATACTAAATCTATTTAACATAAAAAATATTGCTCTTAACTGAAAGATAATTCTGCAAAATCTGTTTTGCCTAAGCTGGTTTTACCTTCTCCTCTGCTCCCCTCAGGATGTTTCTGTATAATGCAAATAGGTGCTCCCCTCACGATGTTTCTGTATAATGCAAATAGGGCTTTATGAAGAAATTATCTAAACCACAAGGAGTTGTAATTTTGCTTTTTCCATCGAAATTCTAGTGTAACATCAGGTTTGGTCAAGCTGTCAGGCCTTCTCTGTGTTAGAAAGCTATCAGGTCTTTTTTTTTTTTCTTTCTGTGTTTTGCTGGGTATTCTCAGTGTCAAGTTCTCTGTGACCCTACAAACTCCTTTAAGCCTAGAGTCTTTAGAAGGTGCTGGAAATTTTTCTGTTGTTATGGTTGACGGTCAGATCATACTCACATTTTATCCCCTAGGGAGATGTTACCTTGTATGGACTTCTTCCTCATAGCTCAAGGGCTATACAGCCCTTCCCTTGATTTTCTGGGGGCTGTTCCACTGATCCAAGGCACTGCCAGGGGGTGAGGGCTGTTTAAGTGACATACCCTATGTAGATACATGGGCATATATGTATACATGCTGTGCAATCTTCTGCATCTCTCTCTTGTAATAAACCCATTCCATAACCCCTTCTAGGATGATTTGGTAAAACTACCTATGTAGTTATAACGTCAGCATGCTGAAGAGCTCGGGCAGGAATCTGAAGAGCAGGGACTCTATACATTTTTTTTTTACCTCTTGAGGACACAGTTATTACTGATTTCAAGATATTCACATAACTCACATAAATCACTCCCTTAAGTTATTCTCATGTTTTCTTTATGATCTTCCATATCACTGTCCCCTTGCATGTGTGAACACAGGGAAAACTTAATGGTGAATCCTCTTATGCATAGATTTTGCATAATGGAAACTGGCACTGACTACTTAAGTTTAGTAGTATCTTTAGACTTACACAAAACTGTTGATCTTCAGGAAAAGTAAGGATGAAAGAATGTCTTCCTTTGAAAATCATCTATGTTTCACAGCATTTCTTTTGGTAAAATAGAGGATTGTTTTTTGAAAATTTGTTCTTGTACCACTGCAAAGGGTCTTTCTACCCCCTGCATAGCTATAGCAAACCCTGAAAAAGTGTTTATGGGATAGTACGTTATTCAAACTTACAGCTTTCCAGCTGCATTATACATGTTTGGACATCCATTGGAAAATTTTTGAGATCCATCGGGCAGGACAGTATTAAAGTCAATCTGAAAGAACACACACATACACACACAAAAATTAAAAATACACCTCAAAAATGCCATAGAACTGTACAGGATAAATGCATGAGAACACTGGAAGTATTAGAAATAGAATTTTTTTTTTTTTTCCCATTAGAAAGCTCTCTAAAGGGATGTATATTAGCTGAACCCATTTCACTTGCTCAACCCAGTATGACAATGTGGAAAAAAATATTACAGACATTTGGAAAAACACATTTTTCAGTAGACCTGCCTAACCTTGTGGGAATTCTAAAGGAATGAAACAACAGGATGCTTCTGTGCTACAACAAAATTATTGTACTGTTACAGTATTTCAAATCCTTGACATGAAATTTACCCAGATTTGCGAGAATTTTATAGCAGATGTCAGCTGCAAATCATGGCGGCAAAGTAATTTATGTGTTATTGTCCTAAAATAAGGTGCTTAAATGGTCAACACAAGCGTTGAAGATAACATTTTATTTTATTTATGGTAGACTGAAATATGCTTGTAATTTTGAACTGCACTTGTATTTCATGTTAGTCCTGGTATTTCCTGTGAAATGCTTTGCAACCTATAGGCAAAAGAGGTATTTTAACATTTTATATCAGTACATTAACTTATCTTTAGAGTGATCCTTCTCAGGAACAGAAAGAATATTTCAGCTAAAGGCACATGTTTTCCCTCACTGGCCATGTTTAGGTATCTATTCAACATTCAGGGTCATGACTGTACCTTTCTTCTTGCTAGAAAATGCCTTGTGTGAAAATCTGCCCTGTATTCATTTAGCAGTTCAGTTGATAGAAAGTTCTCCAAAAACGTGAGGGGTTTGAGTTCAATTGCTTACACATAAGGCTTTTCCATAGTGGCTGTACTCTAATCCCTCCCTCTTAAACCCATTCCCTTGTTTTTGGCACTGCGGCTAAATGGAAATGGCAGTAGGTAGCAATCATGGCTATGTATTTATTTTACCATGCTTTTTCCCTCTCAAAAGCTTCTTGATTCATTGCTGCTATAACTTCCCTTTAACTTGGCAGTGACAGGGCTGCAGGGGGCCGGTTCAGGGAAGGAAATCAGACCCAGGCCCTATTCCCATGCTATTAAAAATGTTTTCAAATGCAAAATCTGACTAATAGGCTAGTAACATGGCAAATCATTTCAGAGAAAAGGCACCTGGATTTTACTTTGTGCTTCAGTAATTATTTTATATTAAGTATTCATAGAATTAGGAACGAGAACCTTCTCATTATTTTCTTGTCTGAATTGTTCTAATGCAATGAAAGGAGAAGGATACATTAGGGAATGAAAGGAAAAAGCAAAAGTAGAAATAATTTTTGGTTTTTTTCCTTTCTGATATCAGCACGTTAGCAATTAACATGTCTCCCCTCATCAAAAGTTTAACGGCTTTCACATAACTCAACTAGATGCCAATTATATGATTACAACTGTTTCAGAAATTGTGATAGTTCTTAGTTAAATCATGGTAACATAAACTTTCTGCCTCCATAAGAGACACAGGAGCTATCTGGCATCTGCTTTTACTACAGTTAATGCTTGCTTTTATAATTAAATATTACAATATTTCTCATGGTTGGGTTTTTTTGCACATTGCTTGTGACCATGAACGTGGTCTGAATTCTACTGAAGTTGCAATTCAAATTTGCTTCAGTTAAGTGGTGGTGTCCTTACTCTGTGTTATATGTATTTGGTGTGATTAGGGCAGGGAGAAGGAGTTACATTTGATTAGAACGGAACTGCCAGTGCCTCTCAGACAGACTCAGTCTGGAGATAATTGATTCAGCCCCACTTTCTGCTTGGGTTCAGAGAAAGAATCCTTTTTACTAGCTTTCCATCTGTTCCTAGTGACAGAATAAATATTGTGACACTGAAGAATGATACTGTTCCCAGACTGGCAGACTAACCTCCTTTTGAATATGAAATGCTCATAGGAATTTTAACCCAATCCTTTTGCCCAGTGTAAGCTTGATATGATGCAGCCCACTTGTGCGGGAAGGAGGGAGGAAGGAGACCCTCTTGCCACTGATATATCCACGCAAGTCGCAGACATTTTCTTTTTCTCTTTGTGTACAAACTGCTTTACAGATTCCTGATGTCTCTTCAAAAAGTCCAATTACCCAGTAAGGCAGTATCACAAAAGCATGCAAAGCAAAACACAAAGTAGACAAGAGGTCTATTTATTTTGAAAAGTATAATGTATTACACTTTTAGTATAAAGCAGCTCACTGTATTAATCCCAAATCTGTATCATGTCTAATGGGGCATTAGTATACTCATATCCAATGTTTGTCTCATTAGATCAGGTTTTTGAAGATAGTGACAAAAAGACTACTAATGTCTGTATTAATAAAAAAGAAAGTGGGGAGAAAAGAGGTAGAATAACTAGAATTTGTCAATACTTCTATAATTGATTGGTGCTTACAGCTTCTTCAACCTTTTCAAAAGTTTGCTTTCCATTTTCTCTCCATCTCCAGCTGTAAGTGAACTATTCCTAAAATCTCATGTTTCTGCAAAAAGGTCATGTTTCCATGTTGGAGTGTAACTTTTTCACCAAAAAAGGTGAAAAAGAAATAACATTGGACTGTCATGACATTGGAGGCTACAGCGTGTGAAACTCTTACATAGGCCAGATTAGATTATAATACTCCAGAATTACTTGTACTGTGCAAGTGTCCTAGCTCCTCTAGGCTCAGTATCTGTACTTTAGAATGGGAAAGATACTTTTCTTATTACTTTTACTATGTGCCTGCCTAATGAGGGATCATTTTCTATTTTAGTATTAACAATGAACTGTAATGACGGTAATGTTCTGTGTCCAACACTCACAACTACTTTAGTGATAGTTCTGCATGACTAGCAACTGAAGATATCTGTGGGTAATTCTTGGGCACACTTTTGAGTTTCCGTCTGAAAACAATAGTTTGATTAGAGACTCACCTGATGGAATAAAGTACATTTCCATTTTTGAAAATTCGCAACAATTTATTATCTGTTGTAACTTCATGAAAGTTGGCACCTTTTTCATTAGCAAAGAATAAATCAGGTTTCCAAATTGAATCCAGCATGGACGGATCTAAGTCTAACGAGTCATCTGGATATTCACTGTATGCGAGACGTGGATCATTCCAATTCTGACGGAGAAAGATGTTCACTCGGTAATCCTGAATGAAAGAGAAAACAAGCAAAGCTTTACCAGGCAAAGGGATTTAGCTTTTATTTCATTTCTTAGCCATGTAATCCCCTGTACATCTGTGGATGACAAAAGAATTACTTAGCTGAATGCCAGCATGATACCTATTTGCATTAGCGGGGACACAATGGATAAGAAAAAAGATATATTTCACAGTAACTGAAAAAAATCTCAAGCTAAGGAAATCCAACGTCGGTGTGCCATCCATATACATCCATATAACTCTATGCCTACAGTAGCTTTGTGTTGAAATCAAATTGAGACAAGCATAAAAAGAGTTTTATGGAGTTGCCTTTTTCTGCCCAACTCCTCATGGGTGCATTCCCACTTCCTGCCCTTAGGCAGTGAGGATCTGTCCCACTGTAAGGGAAACTCAATTAATTTCTTTTTTGTCTCTCTAATTCTTACATATTGTAGACCCACCACTTTGACTTTCTGTGCCTCAGTTCTCTATTGAAAGGTGTGTGAGCAGTAACTTGCAACACAGTTTTCTGAAGAGGAGTCATGTTCCTTCTCTGTTCAAACACAGTGGAGATCGTATAAGCCCTTATGATAAATTAGCTTTGGTACAAGTGGAGTCACCTTCATTCCTACACACAGTTCTGCCTTAATCAAGGGTGCCTTTCTCGAAAAGATGGCTGGAGTGCTTCAAACTTCTGAAAGTCATTAAGGGGTTCTATATACATTCTGTCAAAGACAACGTTGTATTTATGGCCTCACACTTTCTTAAACTCTGAAAGATGAAAATATTTGTTTTTAAAGAAGAAGCAATATTAGCATTTCATTAAATTATACCAAGAACTGAGACAAATGAGACACAGCTTAAGGACATAGCGACAAAACATTTATCTGTCATTATATGATTTTACTCCTTTTTGTACTACTGCATTAATGAAAAAAGATACCTGAATGGGATAGAATTAATTAACATCACTTGTTTATTGTTAAAAAAGGCAATGAATATTAATTTAAAAAAAAAACTTTTTGAGTCAGAATGGGAAATTAAGTTCAATGCTGAGGAATACAATTTGGCCAATAACTATGTGCAGTAGCTCCTAGTGCTTAGAATAACTAGTTAAAGTCACACTGGTGTAAAAATTGTGAGTACTGTTGGAATTCAGGTGTCATATCAATATTTAGTCTTATGAAACTTGGAACATGTAGCCATACATTTGTGAGAATCATGTCAACAGACATAATAAATGGCAACAGGAAACTCAAAACTACAACTGGAGAATGAAATTAATTCAGATTATTGTTTTCAGCACACGTCTCTGGCCAAATGGGAGCATATAACACTTAATACCAGGTGGGAAAATCATAGGATTTATTCATAATTTTTTTTTTTTTTTTTAAAGGTAAATTGTTAACTTCTCTTTCAGAAAAGGACTGAAAGAAATTTCCCTTGTTTTTAATCATGGCTAGTTAGTTACAGCCTCAAGAGCCATAAAAAGTTCATAAGAGAAGCTGTTGTATTTTTCATAATTAGCACCATGGCATGATGGAACCAGAGCCAGGGATTTGTACTTTACAGATGTAGAAACAAGTCTCTTTCTTTTTTTTCTTTCCAAAAAAAACCTTACACAGGCTTGTGCCTCAGTGTTCATAAAACTTGAGGTTTTGTGGTGTTTGGTTGTTTGGTTTTTTTTGGTGAGTTTTTTTTTTCCCCCCCCTGGAATACCTTTATTTCTTTGCATGATATCCCAAATACCGTGTAGTACCAGTTCCTGTTCCAAACTCCTGTATAGAGTTAAAGGGCCAGGAAGAAGGAGGATGTAGAAGCAGTGATGGCTCTACTGCCTGTCCCAACATGTGGACTCACGGCACTGAAGGAAACATTAGCTCTAAGCCTGGGGCACTGCGTGGGAGCACTGTAGCTCTCAGGACTTCACCTGCACTTCAGCCAAGCCCAGGCTTCACATTTTAATTTGTATAACCTAAAGTACATCTAATTATTTACTTTTCTTTGTAGAATATGATGAGTTTATGAGTGGGATTACTTGCAGAGTAAGAGACTTCTCATATGTGTAAGACAAAACAGGTGAAAAACGCATAGCAGAAAGTTGAAATGAAAATGGAGGAAGACAAATGGAGGGATCTGTTCTAGGTTTTATTAAGCTATTCTGTATGTCAGTTTGCCTAAAGTTTATTGGTTTAAATTGTTTCCAGCTTTTAAGATGAATAAAATCCTAGTTAAATGTTTCTTTAAAACAATTGAAGATATTATTCATTGTTCTCTCCCTTGAAAAGTCTGACTTAAATTGGCTCTTATTATTCACTAAAAAATCCTAATCTATCAAAATGAGAGAGAGATGTTTGACTGCTATTGTGTAAAGGACAAGTATTCATCGTCTCAGTTTATAATTGCACATTGTGAGCCTAAGGCTTAACTGCTTTAAACAAGTAGGGTTGTTTGATGCAAACACAGACCAGAATTGAATTGCCAGAATTGGGATTTAAAATAATTTTTTTTCGCACAAAAGGATTATTATTCTCATGCTATTTGCCCAGAGGGGTGACTCCTAACTCAAATAATTCTGTGCTGGGGAGGTTCCTTGAGGGGAGAGAAGAATCGTCACTTAAGCTGCAGTGACTTCCACAGCCACTTCCATAACCTCAAGGCTTCCATCTTCTGAGCAGCTGCTGTGCCCTGGTTCTACAGGATAAGACTGATTTGTGGGATCTGCACTTGCTCCACTGTCCCTTGAAACCCTTAGCCACACGGGGAACTTTCTTAGAGGGTTAGAATATTGTTCATCTGCCTCACAGGGCTCAATAAATTCAAAACTGGGAGGTCAGGTAATTGCTCTTTGCTGTCCATGTGGAGGCTGAGGCCCTTTTGGATCCCAGTACTGACGTTTCGATTAGCGTTCAAAATTGCTCAAAAATACTTACAGAATATGTTGATTTCTTCTTCATTATACTCCTACAGATAGAACTATTCCTATAGCATACAGAATATAGGCAGAATGCCTTATGGAAACTTTTGCACAAATCCTCGAGATATTAATTGCCTGACTCTCCCTGGTTTCTTTAATGCATTTTTAATAGGCCCTGTATATGGTGTCCTTCTTCATCTAAGAGAGATAAATAAAAGCAAATTTCCAAAATATGCCCTTCATTTGAACATTGCCTATGACCTGCTCTCGTAACTTTTGAATGCTGTAATTTGAACCAAATCATCAAATTTTCATGCATTAATGAATAATCTGCCAGACCTCTATGTATTACATTTCTAAATCCTATTATAATTTTGACTAATATATCAATCTAAATTAAATGTAGATTTGTATTTTGCATAATGTAGTCAGATAATTTTTGCTTTATTTGTTCTAGCTCACTGTAGAATTATAATGTGGAAATATGATGGACTTTCCAAGAACACTGCTAAGAGTAAATTTCAAGGCAGTATGAGAAACGCTGTTCAAGTCGTAAAAAAATAGAGAAAGTAGATGCATTTCCTGAAGACTGAAATATAAATATTTGTTTATTAAGTTTCCAGCAAATTATAGGAAAAATGTCGTTTGAATGCATGTATACTAATTTTGGTAACTACATGTATTGCAAGTGCTCAAAAATCAACCAAAAGCAAGGCCTGGTAATTGTAGATTATATGCATGCACAGACTGATAACTCCTCAATGGTTAGACTTCTCTCTTTCCAGGTTTTCTCCAGGTCTCTCTTTTCAGCCTGGAGAAGAGAAGGCTCCAGGGAGACCTTATAGCACCTTCCAGTGCCTGAAGGGGCTACAAGGAAGCTGGGGGGGACTTTTTACAAGGGCCTGTAGTGACAGGACAAGGGGTAACGGGTTTAAATTGAAAGCAGGGAGGTTTAGATTGGATGTCAGGAAGAAGTTCTTCACACAGGGTGTGGTGAGGCAGTGGAGCAGGTTGCCCAGAGAAGCTGTGGATGCCCCATTCCTGGAAGTGTCCAAGGCCAGGCTGGGTGAGGCTTTAGTTGATCTTTAAGGTCTTTTCAAACCGAAACCATTCTATAATTCTGTGATTCTATTATTCTATTATTACTTTGTGGTTTCTAAGATGATTTTTACAATATATGATTTCCTAGTTCCTCATAGATTTATTTTTTTTTTTTTAGCTTTAGAAAATGTCACAAGAAGTGAAGGATGATTTTGTGTTGTGTTATAGTGGTACAATATAGTAAAATGCGGGGACCTGATAGATACACATTGTCTTGTCTTCTCGCTCAAGTTTTTTTTTTTTTCATTCTCACCGATGTACAGAACACATTAATAGTTTTAATGTTTTCTGGTGAGATTTTGTAAAGTTGTTATCTCAGTCTCTGAAAAGCATGCAGCATGACATGCTTTTTATTGCCACCTTGATTAGTATAATTAGATGAGATGCCCTGTGGCATGTTAGTATTTTGTGGTTATAACATCTTAATAACATCTTTCCATTCTGACTTTGTTCACTGGCCCTAAGCACTATGGCTGCACTTTAGATAACATAATTGCTTTTTGTAGGTTGATGGAGTTTCCTTCGTTTTCCTTTGCATATCTGAAAATTTCAGACAGGACCAAAAGCTATTCAGCTAAAGATTTCAATATGCTGTTGATGAAATTTACCTAATGTAAAATTCAAGTATTTAAATTTAAGTAAGCCCCCTAAAATTGGTAGGTAATTTTCCATAGAGGTTACCAATATCAATGCAAAATCAAAGTCAGAAAAGACCCTTGAAATTCACACTGACATTTGAGAAATTTAAATACAGTTTTTGTAATCTGAAGTATTCCTCTGAATTTCCTCATGCTTAATAGCTGGAATTCTATGATTACTGAGATTACTTGTGGTAAGGCTTCATCTGTAGTCATACACATTTGGAAAAAGGAATATATAGAAAAGGTGCAGAAAAAGATGACATAGGACTGGACAGGATAACCAGTTCTGTGAGACTAGACAGGAAAATCTTGTTTTATTTAAGCCAGTAATACAAAGGACTTGTATTATG